GACCCCCAGCTGCACCTCGAGCAGGCGTGGAAGCGGCGGCTGCAGGAAGGAGACCCCGCTCTGAAGGCAGGGGGCATGGGGGGGCAGGCGGCGCAGTGTCCTGGCCCCATCCCCGCTCTCCCACGGGCATCCCCAGGGCCCGGGTCTGGGGAAGGGGCGAGGGTGGGTGCTCGCCCTGGGGGTCCCAGCACTGCGGGACAGGGGGGGCCGCACCGGGGAGCGGGGCAGTCCCGCGTTCACCCTCCCAGCTGGATGCGGATGGAGGTGCTTGGAGCAAACCGCCCGGATGCGAGATGGATGGACAGACAGACGGACAGGCTGAGGTCCCCTCTCCCCAGCAGTGAGCAGTGCCCAGCCTGCGCAGCGCTCGGTGCTGGGCAGGGCAGGATGCAGCCGCGGGCTCATCGGGCAGCGACGATGTGGGGAGCTGAGCAGTGTGGGGAGAGGTCTGGCTGTCCCCCCACCAGCCCCCAAAGCGTCCCCGTTCTGGGGGCGCGTGCGCCCCTGACGGGGGAGCAGGCTGAGACCCTGCGCCGGGGCAGGGGACGCGGGGCCGGGGCCGTCCCCATCACACCGGTGCCACCCCAGCCTCACGTGGCGGGGCCGGGGGCCTGGTCTGCCTCCCCCTGCCCAGCTGAGCCTCGGGGTGCCCCGCGGCCCCCGCGCTTTGCAGACGGTCGTACACCACTAACAAACACCAGGACCTGCCCCAGCCTCGCGTGGGGCCAGCGCCCGCGTGTGGGGCACGGGGGGCTGACGGCACAAGCCCCCCGGGGCAGAAGAGGGGGCCGGGAGGGCAGACACAGGCTGCCGTGGTGGGGGAAGCGCAGTGCCCCGGCGCAGGACGTGTCCCAGGCCCCCAGCGTGCCCGGGGGCACCCGGCTGGGACAGCGGGGACAGAGCAGCGCCAGGACCCCCGCGCTGTGGGGGACCCCAGCCCCTCCTGGGGCCGCCCCGCTCCCGAGTGTCCAACATGGACGGTGGGTGCCCCAGTGCAGCCCAACCGGGGGCACCCAGTTTCCAGCCCAGCCCAGCCCTCTCCCGCCCCGGCAGCGGCGCAGGCAGCAGCAGGCAATGCCCTCGACCAGATCCTTTATTACAGAAGGGCTTTTACACATCACAGACACACGCAGCCCTCCTCATGCACTGCCCCGGCCCCGCTGCGCCCCGGCACCCC